GCAACTTGAGACCATACTTGTAACTGAAATAAATCAGACTCGCATGTGTAAACATTGTATTGTCTCCCTGGTTAAGAAATTGAATGAGTAAGATCTAAAATCTACAAATAGGTATTGTAAAAGGGAAACAAACTGCTCAAAAAGAAAAATCAACTGGGATGGGAGAAAAAAAAAGATGAAAAGGTGAAAGAATAAATACACACACACATATGCAAGATAGCTAAGACAGTTATACTGTAGACAGTTTCTAGTTCATTGAATAACAGTTTGTGCTTGCATTGTTTGACCAACTTTGCATGCCTATATCTTGTAATCTGAGCAATCACTTTGAAAATTACAATACACAATATTTTAGCCACTATTAATTTGCTATTATCTTGTTTTAAAACTCTACATCACTGTTTTTATTGCTTTTTCTCTTTAAATTTTTTTTTTAAAAACTAAAGCAAGCAGGTCTAAGAAAACAAAGGCCATGCCAGTGATCAATGGAATTGAAAACCAAAAAGCAGCTGGGCATGGTGGCTCACGCCTGTAACCCCAGCACTCAGGAGGCTGAGGCAGGAGGATTGTTGCAAGTTCAAGACCAGCCTGGGCTACAAAATGAGCTCAAGGCCAGCCTGAACTGCATAGGGAGACCCTGTCTCAAAAAGACAAAAAAAAAAAAAAAAAAAAGAAAACCAAAAACCAACAGAAAAAAAAACCAATGAAAACAAACACTGCTTATTTGAAAATATTAATTAACAAATAAACACTTGGCCTCACTGATCAAGAAAAAAATAGAAACCCAAATTACCAATATCAGGAATGAAAGAGGGTTTATCTCTACAGACCCTACAGCCATTAAGGGATGATAAAAGAATATTCTGAACAACCCCACCCACAAAATTTCAGCAATTTCAATTAAACAGAAGAATTCCTTGAAAACCATAACCTACTGTAATTGACTTGAGTATACTGATAAGCTAAATAAATCTACAGTTATAAAGAAACTGAATTTATAGTTTAAAATAGTCCAGAAAAGAAATCTCTGTCCTCAAATAGTTTTATTGTTAAATTTTACCAAACATTTAAATAGTCTCCACAATCTCTTTTAAAAAACAGAAAAGAGGGAACAGAGATATAGCTCAGTGTCACAAATGCCTGCCTGGCAAGTGCAAGGCCATGAACTTGATCCCTTGTACCAAAAGGAAGAAAAAAAGAAACTCAAACAAACAAAAAAGCAAGAAACACTTCCCCATGCATTTTATAAGACTAGCACTTCCCTGATTCTAAAGTCAAACATATTACAAAAATACAAAAGTTCAAACCAATATTTCTCTTGAACAGAATACAAAAAACTTCTCAAAAAGGTATTCAATCCAATGTTATATAAAAATGTATAATAAACCATGACCAAGTAGGGTCTATCCTGAAAATGCAAGATTGGTTCAGTTTTTGAAAATCAGCCATGTAATCTATCATTGTAACAGCATAAAAAAGAAAAACTATGTAATCATATTAATTGGTGCAGAAAAGTTTTTTTTTTTTTTTTTTTTTTTTTTTTTTTGTCTTTTTCCTTTTTATCGGTACTGGGGATCAAACTCACGACTGCCTACTTGCAAGGCAGGTGCTTATGCCGCTGAGCTAAATCCCCAGCCCCAGAAAAGTATTTTTAAAAATTCAACACCAAGGCTGGGGATTCAGCATGAGGTCATGAGTTTAATCCCAGGTATAAAAAAAATATATATTCAACACCCAAACCAGGCATGGTGGCACATGCTTGTTATCCAAGCACTTGAGAGGCTGGGGCAGGAGGACTGCCATGAATTCACAGCCAGCCTGAGCTACATAGGAAGTTCAAGGCCAGCCTGCTCTACAAAGCAAGACCCTGTCTTAAAATAAATAAATAAAATTCAACACCCATTCACGATTTAAAACAGCAGCAACAACAAAACACCTTCCTTAGCTAACTGAGAATGGACGGGGAGTTCTGTAACCTGATAAAGGGCCTCTACAAAACCCAACAGTCAATGTCATAATCATAAAAAGTCTGAATGTTTTCCTTGTCCCTAAAAATAAAAAGACTTTCATGACTCCTTTGAATACTGTGTTGAAAGTCAGTGCTATCATAGGCACAGTAAGTAACAAAGCAAATATGAAGTTGTACAGATCGGAAAGAAACTGAACCGCCTTAGTCTAGTTCAGAGAAGCTGATTATGTACATATCACAATCCAAAGCAATGCGCAGAACAGCTGTGGAACTCATAAATGAGTTTAGCAAAGATGCAGGACACAAGCTGAACACATAAATGTCAGTCAAATTTCTGTTTACTGGCAACCAATAAATGAAAATGAAATTTAAAAACCACAATTGATAAAAAAAAACTTGCTTATAAACCAAACAAAATATGTAGTTTCTGTATACCAAAAAATATAAAATGGTGATGAAAGAAATCAAAGAAGACTTAAATGAAAAGTCCACAGATTGATAGGCTCAACATCCTAAAGATACCAATATTCTCCTTATTGATCCACAGATTAAATGCAATAGCAAGCAAATTCCAGAGGCCCTTTTGAAGCTACAGCCTGATTCTAAAGTTTATAAAGAGAAGCAAAGGAACCATTTTGAGAGGCCCAAAAAATTTTTAAAAAGAATAAAATTGGAGGAGTCACGTCGCTCACTTTTATTTTAAACCTCTAATAATCAATATGGCAGGGGATTGGCAAAGAGAGGGATCCATAGATCAGTAGAATAAAATATAGATTATAGAATAAGCCCACACAAATATGAACAATTAATTTTGAATGGTTTTCAAACTTTGAAAACAGAAAGACAACAAATGTTATTTGAATAATTAGATATCCATATTAAAAATATGGGCCTTGATGTATACTTCATACCTAATACAAAATATATATTAGGTATAAATTTAAAGCACAGAACAATATATTTGTAGACAAAAACATAGCCTTTGTTTAACCAAAGGGTTCCTAGACATAGCATGACAGTAAGATCATAAAAGGAAAACTGACAAATTGGACTTCATCAAAATGTAAAACTTTCCCTCTATGCAAACGATTATTAAGGGAATAAAAAGATTAGCTACAGACCAGGAGATGTTGCAGATCACACATCTAACAAATAATGCATACTGAGTTTTCAAAACTTAACAGTATGAAAAGAACGCAGGCAGATAGAAAAGCCATCAATGGAAGAAAGAGGAACAAAAGGTGATCTAGATGGTATCTCAGAGCTCGCAGCAATGCCAGTTTAAACTACTGTGAGCCACCAAAGTGCAGCTGGCTACAGTCACAACACAAACATCCCAACAAGACCAACTGCAAATGTCTTTCCGAGGGCATTGAGACCTCGCATGAGCTGGCTCTGCCGACTTCAGTGTCTCAGCTTTGCTTTATGGTGACCAAAGACCCAACACAAGCAATTTAAACACAAAGATTTGTTCTGGCTCACAGTTCCAGTCCATGGCGGTAAGCAGGGCAGTGGTGGCACAGCACGTAGAGCGGACGTGGCGGACAAGGCCTTGTGGCAGCAGGGATGTGAGAAGAGAAAGGCAGGACTGAGCCCTTTCCAAAACCTCAAGGGCCTAATTTCCTTCTACCAGAACCCCGACCTCCCCCACATACACACAACCATCAAAGGTTCCTACTGCCCACAGCACCAGGCTTGGGACCAAACCTTCAGCACAGGGCCCCGTTCGGGAGGTTCACCTCACACACCCAGACCCTCTGACACTCTCCTTTGCTCTTCTCTCTACTTCCTCTGCTCCTTCCAGGTTGGTCATCTTCTTCTTATAAAATACATCAACTTGAGCCTGGAAATACAGCACTTTGGGAAGCAGAGGCAGCAAGACTGCAAGTTAGAGTCCAGCCTAGGCAATTTAGCAACTTGGGAGACCCTGTCTCAAAAAATTAAAAAAAAAGGGCTGCGAGGTATAGCTTAGTGTGAAGGCCCTGGATTCGATTCCAAGTAATGCAAAAACAAACAGAGCCTGGGATACAGCTCAGCAGCACAGCACCTGCCTGGCAAGTGCAAGGTCCTGAGTTTGATATGTGATATCAAAAAAAGTGAAAAATAAACAAATCATTTCCTTCTTTCCTTGCATATGTTGGATTGCTCCTTATTACGATTTTCCACCTGAGTGTCCCATGGTTGGTTCCTTCCTCTCATTTGGGACCAAATATCCTATCTGCTTTCATCACCAAATCAAAAGTCCTCCTGTGCCTCTGAACCAGCTATATCCTGGTTTCTTGGTTTTCACACCCCTTCTCCTAAGCTCTTACGCATTTACTTCTTTGTTGTGTTGCCTACCAATCCTCTAGCACAACACAGTGTGAACTCTACCAGGACAGAGAGATGCCTTGACCTCCGAAGCCCCACACCTAGAGCATACCAACAAATAGTAAGCCCTTGGCAATATCTCTAGAATGAATGACTGAATGAATTCATCAATTAACTAGTTGCGTATCTCAGTAAGGGACTGAGATATATACAGCTCCCAAGGTTGGTCTTCTTAAAATGAGGCTACCTCGACCTGCCCATGGTGCACCTTGGTAACAGACTTGCGTCCTTTACAACTTCTGAAGCCCTCTCCTCTCTTTAAGCTACACATTATTCCGGAGGCGTAGGTGACCCCTCCACGCTTTTAAAACTTACCTGCGGAAAGGTTAAGTGACCCATGCACTATACATCAGTGCATAAATCAGGATATAAGATAACAGTACAGGAAACTTTTTTCTTGTTTGCAAAAGGGCTTAATCATTTCCTTATACAGCCTCCTGCTTAAAGTGGAAGAGTAAACCTTCCCTCCCTCCACACTGAAGGGGGAACATCACCACGCCTGGGGCGGGGAGGGTTCCGCCCACAGGGGGTGCAGCGTTGGAGGACAGCCTGGGGTCACCAGAGTCCCCGCCCAGCGGGGAGAGGCTCTGGGGTTCCCGCCCGCTGCCCACTGCAGGGTGCAGCCCCGACTGGGCCTCTGAGATCTCGTCCCAGGACTCACGCAGCTCCCGACCCGCGGTCTCCGCCGCCTCCTCCGAAGGCCCCGCCTGCTTCGAGGTCCGGACCAGGCTCCTCCACGGCCGGGCGGCCGCGGCCCGCAGACGATCCCGGAGACCCCCCGGCTGCAGCGGCGCGCGGGGCGGGGTGCATGGCGGCCGCGGCCCCGGGACCTCACGCTGAGTCCGCCGGCCGGTGCGCGCTTGCTCTGGGGGCTGCGATGCGGGCGGCCGGCGAGCGCCCCAACCCCTTCCCCGCGGAGCTCGGGGAGAGCCCGCCCGCGGGTGAGGCACGCGCGGCGTGGCTGTTCCACCTCCGGCGAGAGGGCCCGAGAGGACTGCACACCTTCATCGATTCCAGGCAGTACTCCACCAAGGCTAAATACAGATATCAGAAACACTGAGGTTCTACTACCACCATCGCTATTGGAGCTTCAGTATTAAATCATTTTTAAATTAAATAATGTCAATATTAAATAATTTTTAAAATTTCCAGAATTTTTGGAATGAGTCTTACTTTCTCGTTTGACACCCAAGCAATCATCTTCCTGATTCTTTTTTTAAAAAGTGAAATAATAAAGGAGAAAGTCCATTTTTCATGTCTTTTCTAGTTCTATGAATTTATGTGCTTTTAATAAATTTTAAGATTTCGATGCTCCTTTCAAAGTTGTTTTTCTTTCAAGTTAGAAACATTAAATTCAAAACAATGTTTTGGGTTTTTTTTTTTAATCAAGAAAAAAAAAAAAAAGGAACACCTATAATCCCAGCACCAGGCAGGTTGAGGCAGGAGGATCTTCCTGAATTGCAAACCAGCCTGAACTACATAGTGAGACCCTGACTCCAAATAACAACAACAAAAGATGTCAAAACACAACGAAAAAAGTCCATTAATGACAGGAAAAAAGGTAGCATCACTTTATGCTGCATACCCAGTGGAAATGTGGTGATCAGATCAGCAGACAGTCTGTAGTCTGCTCCAGCACAGGAGACAAAAACCCAAAAACAATGCCTTTGGTGAACCGTAGCCTTGACTGAACTTCGTTTCTTTAATTTTCTTGACAGCTTGGGATAGATGGAAAGCCGGGAAGTGTATTGTAGATGCTATTTTCTTGTTTCTGTTTCAAATAGGAAGTTAGTTCTCAACCAAAAGATTAATTCACAGTGTGCTAATGATACCTAATAGGCCCTAGCCTACATGACCTGGACCTGGGCAACTCTCCCCCTTTCTTACGGCATGTCTGAGTCCTGAGGCAGAGCCTTTAGGGTTCTGGAACATTCTCATCCCTACCCCGCTTGCTATCATTAAAGCTTGAGGATAAATGTCACTTCCTCAAGAGACTTCACAGGTTAAAAATATTCTAACAGTATTCCCTGCCTTCATTCTTTCCTGTATGCTGTTTTCCTCTTTTCCTGCAGCGCTTGACACTGAAATGATGGTACTTGTTTAGCATCTACCTCGCCAAACAGAAGGTAGGAGACAGATTTCTATAACCTTTACCCCTCCTGCCTCTCTAGTACCTAGACCAGAACTAGGTGTGAGGAAAATATCTAACAAATTAATACAGATACAGTTCAGCCAGGTGAGAAGTAACCTGTCTACCGCCCTTGTCTTTAGTTTTTTCCCTAAAGGAATGTTGGGAGCCATTGAAACTGGAAATTGAACACAGGTGCAGGTCTGAAGCATGGCCAGGGCATGGCTGACCAGAGAACAAAGAGACACCTCAAAGGGCAAGATAAAGTCACAGCTGAGGACACCTGGCTCCAACTCCAATTAACTAAAGACTGTAGCTACAGGCATTTCCCTCCTGAAGTGAAATGAAGCATGAAGATCTTCTCATAAGGTAACTCTCCTAAAGGAAACATAATCTGTTACTTGGAACAATCCTTGAACCACTCCCAAGCTCTGTTCAGTTTCCTGCCTTTTTCACCCTAACCCCTTCCTTGTTTGAAAACTAAATGCATCTGGGGCCAGCCAGAGGCATTCTTTGTCTTAGCCCCCAGTGTCTTGAACTCTGCAGGGCATTTTGATTCTCCTAAGGCCCTAAAATCATACCACTTGTCTCATTTATTTAAGCCTTCATGTACACATCTTTGGGAGGTTGGGGATCTAGGCCAGGTCCCCAATAAGGGAAGGTTTAGGAAAGTAAGGGAACATGTTCAGTTCTCATGTCAAACGTTAAGTCCTTATATGTACTTAAAACCATATTCCTGGATTTTTCTTTTTCAGACAGGTTATGTAGATTGTCTTTCACCAGTAGGTAGAGCCTTTTGAACATCTTCTGCCAGGCAGGGTGGGTATTATTCGCGAGACTAAGGCCAAGTCGGTGTCAAGGCACATGGTAAGGCTCGATGACGGATGGTGCAAACTGGTCCTGCACACTGGGTGTCAATTTCTGTGCTCAGGGGACAGAAGGAACCCTCCAGATTCTCACAGGCCAGGAAATAACAGCAGCACTGTCTGGGGGAGGGTGACGATGCTGTTTTAGAGGCAGCACTGGAATTCTGCTACTGATACGAGCTGAAAGGACCATCTGGTTTGGTACGCTTAGCATCCTATTTACAATTTGTTTGAACACATAGACATTTTTTCAGGAAATGTATAGTTGGAAAAGGCTTTGCACATGAAATGGGATGGTAGCCCAAGTACTTGTCTCTATTTCCACAAGCAGGTTGGTACTGTGGGCTCTTGGAGCTTTTCTGGTTTCTGAGCCAAGGTCCATTCACACATCTCTGCCTGATTAGTGAAAGGGCCATTCTTCTGCTGTTACAAGGTCAGTCTGCAGTGGGGATAACAACTGTTGAGCTCCTTGATTTTTCTCCGCATTGGCTCCTTTTGTTTCCTCTCCTTTAATTGGGGCACCACCTCTGCTAGCAGTTCTTCTGGAAATGTGCACATTCTGGGAGATACTGGAAGTACCCATTTCTGTGGAACTACAGAACACTTGGTTGTTTTGTTACAGATTTGTGAGCTTCAGTGGCAGGCTTCAAAACCAGATTCTTGTTAGCTTGCTGAGAAGGTGGAAGGGGCTTTCACTGCTGGACATGCTTCCCATCCCAGAGCCGTAATCACCTTTCTCCTCTTTTCCATCAGGATTGACTTTTTTTTACTTTAATAATGGAACTTACCATGGGCAATTTTCTCTTCCAAAAACACTCTTCTCAATACTTATTTTTTTCTGAGTTGTTTCTGAAGAAAGGACTGGGAGTCTCTTGCATTCCCTTAAGCACTTCTCATTTCCAGAAATGTACGACTGTTCTGTATATCTTGTTGCATGAATACTGTTTGCTGCTGCTGAAATTACAGCCTGTTTAAATGAGCACCACTCTGCATTTAAACTTGGAGGTGGTTGATAAATTTTGACATAAGGGTGATAAGAACCACGTGAAAGTGTCATTGTAGGTTTTTTCTGAGATAAGGGATTGTTCTGCACAAAACTGAGGCCGTCATCAATCAGATCATCTGGTTCTGGCTCTAGCTCAGACAATCTCTGAAGGGTGATGGTCCCTAGGAGGTTTCACTGTTGCCATTAGTGGGGTTACAGTGCCATCACCCCAAGTCTACTCATACTGTCTTCTGCTCCTGGGAACTTGTGGAAACTCTGGGATCTTTTTTCAGGGCTAGTGCTAGAAATAGCAAGGGGAGGCACTGTACCTGTCATGCCTTTACTCAACAAAAACTGCTCTTGCCTGAAAGCACATTTTTATCAAAGGTGGTGGTATCAGAGAACTTCAGACTAGAGGCTTCATGTGCAACAGAGTTACTTTTGTCCAGCATACCATGAGGTCATTAGGTGAATCAAACTGTGTTGTTCCATAGAAACATGGACAGTCCTCTGTCATTTGTTCTTCACTTATCCTGTTGACCAACATCCTCATAATGTAATCAGGAAGTTCATCAACGTAAGCTCCTCATTCTTGCAATTTCCTCTTCAGGGCTCTCTGGGTCAGATCTCTCCGTCAATCCCGTGCAGATCTCCACAGCACTGTGCAGCCTTGCTCACCAGGAGTGGACCTGGGCTCCTGCTTGCAGGCTCCACCGCCACTTAACTCTCAGCCATGCACACACATCTCTGAATTCCTTTTCCCTCTGTTAGGTTATCGCTCCCCAATTCCCACTGTATACATTGCTTTATTATAGTCCTTATCACACTGAGTAGAAAGTGTCAGTGGTGGCTCTTCATTCCTTGTGCATGAAGACAGCTTAATAATCTTGATATCCTACATAGCTGGGATTCAGCTATAACTAACAGGAAACTCAAGTAACTATGGCTTAAATGCAGTGTCTTCTGCAAGTCTGGAAGTGTGTGGGTCTCACAGGTGATGCTTTTGCTCCATAAAGTCCTCAGGAACCAGCATTCCTTGACTTCACCATCCCAAGAAACAATAGCCAGCTCAGGTGTGAGATTGGGCATCTTCTGTAGGCCACAGGATGGAGAAAAGAAACAGGAAGAGGAGGCAAAGAACACATCACAGCTACAGAAGAGTTCCCAGAAGTACCCTCGGGATCCCACTGGCTAACATTCAGTCACGTGGCTGTATTTGCTTGCAGTTGCAAGAATAAGAAATGAACTGTATATCATCGGTTCATTTTTATTTTAAGGAGAATAAAACAAACAAAACAAAGCAGAATAAAGCAGCTAGGGCCATTTGAGGACTGCGGAGGGAGAGAACCACACACTAAGGGAGATCTCTGCCCAGATACCAGCACGAAGTGCCTGCTGCTGCTAGCCTGGTGAGTGCCAGACCCACGCTTCTCTCCGTGAGTCAGCGCCATTCATGGACTGTGGAGGGAGAGAACCAGGTCCCATGGGAGGAGGTCCTCACGCAGCAACCATATAGTTTTCATTGGTTTCTTTTGGGTGAGAGTTGGGTTTTTATTTTCTTTTGTCTTATGTTAACTGATGGCATGAACAGTTATTTAGAAGATAGCAAGACATGTTATGGAAGCCATTATGTATTTACTACTGGCTTGTTTTGATGTTTTTTATTGCATTCATTGTTTTGTTTTTATTGGTTCTACTCTATCCCATTCTGTTGGATTTTTTAATATGTCTGAGAGTGGTATCTGCAGCTATTTTGAAGACAATAAAGGCATTGTGGTAACTATTGTTGATTTCATAAGAGTTGGAAGTCCTGTATCACCTATTCTGGTTTATTTTGATTGATTTTATTCTGTTTTATTTTCCTTAGTTTTTTCCTCTTTAAAATAAAAAAAAAATAAAGTAGCTTAGAACAAAACAATGCAAACAACACAGGATTTCAAAACAAAACAATAGGGAATCAACAGTGGCATAATATCTCTTGTTTTGCTTGAAATAGCTGTCCATATCCTCACACACAGTGAATTCAAACAAAACAAAATAGTGTAAAACCGATCAAAACCAAAGAATGAAAGCAATACAGGCCTTCAAAACCAGGCAATAGGAAAATCAACAATGGCTACCATAATGTCTCTTGTTCTCTTCAAAATAGCTGTGCATACCTTCACACAAACTGAAATCAAATAATAGAAAACAGACTAAAACCAACTAAAACAAAGAATAACAGTATTACTGGACTTCAACAAGATGATAGGAAATCAGCAATGGTTACCAGAATGCCTCATTTTCTTCAAAGTAGCTGTTCATATCACATGTAATAGAATCAATACTTGTAAATTCTTTAGGAGAAGTTCTAGGCATGTATTATATGCCTACACATGTACATCTATCCTTTCTGTATTAGAAGGAAAAATAAAACAAAACAAAGCAAAATACAAGAAAAACAAAAAAACAACAGAGACAAATAAATAACAGTAAGAGCCCAAAACAATAATGATATAGGCTTTCAAAACAAGGTTGTAGAAACATAACTAAAGTTGTTATTTTGCATAGTTATCTTCAAAAGAGTTATTCACTTTACCAGATATAAACATGCAAAATTGATCTAATCATATACATGTTAACTGTTTTGTTCTAAGAACTAATAGAATTAGTAACACAATCATCTTAGCTATCTTAAGTGTATGTATACAAATTTATATCTTTTTTCCCTTCCTTCTTTTCTCCTTTTCTCTATCTTAGTTATTTTTTCCCCTTTGAACAGTTTCTTACTCTTTCACAACATTTATTGAAGATTTTGTATATTATTTATTCTTTCAGTTTCTTACTTTAGGGAAACAATAAGGTATTTACACATGTGACTCTTGATTTATTTCACTTAAGAGAATGCTCTCAAGTCATGTCCATTTACTTATA